TTGTCGTTTCGTGCTGCGCGCCGGCGAGTCACGTTATTCGCTCGAATTCGTTTCGTCAAGCTTCGCGGTTGGTTCGCATCTCCTCCTGCAGGGCGACGATGCGCGCGAAGAGCTGCTGGGTAACTTCGGTGTTGTCGAAGTTCGCCATCCTGTTCAAAACATGCGCGGAGGGGTTAATTCAAACATCGCGGAGCTGTTGCTTACCAGAATCGGCGCCGAATTAGTCGCCCCCAACGGTTTTTCGAGGCAGGTTTTTCCGGTGTTGCTGCTTAGCTGAGAGCAGCCGAGTGGGAAAAGCTTTGATACCAAGTGTCAAAGGATCGAATTGATCGAGGAAAAGTTGCACTATCGATTGATAAAAGGCGCTTTTATACTTCCAAGGTACATCAGGTAACCAGGTTTATCCATTCCAAAGGGAATAGACCCCTTCTAGAAATAGAATCACCCTGCGGTTAGCCACGCGAAACTATTGACTTTAAGGGATTACGACAAGATTACGCTAGATATAGCACGCAAGTACATCCCGAGCCTGGTTGGTGATATAATTATAATAATATGATAATCCAAAGGATAATGGAAAATGAGGAATAGGAAACCAAATGAGATGAGATAAAGACCAAAAGAATCGGGATAAAAAGAATGAGATATCGAAGAAATATGGAAATGAGAAAGAAGTGTAAGGGGGTCATACTCTCCTAGAGAGACGGCCCGGGAGAGGGGGACGGCGCGGGAGAGGGGGACGATGCGGGAGAGGGGGACGACGTGGGAGAGAGGGATGACACGAGAGAGAGAGGGATGACGCGGGAGAGAGGGATGACGCGGGTGAGAGAGGGATGATTCTTGGATGAGAGGGACGATTCGGGAAAAAGGGACGATGTACGCGAGAAAGAGAGGCATGACACGAGAAAGAGAGGGACGACGCATAGGGAAAATACAGATTTTGCGAACTTTGGGAGCTCAAGGAGAGAGGGTGTCTGAGAACGAGAGAAAGTGGCGCCGAGAAAGGGAGAGTGGCAGGCTGATCGCCGTGCGCCTAGGCTGCTAGATTGCCATGCGCCTTGGCTGCTAGCTTGTCACGCGCGTAGGCTGCTCGCTTGCCATGCGCTTGAGTTGCTTGCTCGCCATGCGCCTAGGCTACTCGCGGGCCATGTGCCTAGGCTGCTCGCGCGCTATACGTCTAGACGGCTAGTAGCACGTCACACGCCAAGAGAGGTATATCGTCGTGCGCTTAGGCAGCTAGGACGCCACGCACCTAGGCAGCTAGCATGCCAGGCGCCTAGGCAGCTAGGACGCCGCGAGCCCAGGCAACTAGCACGCTATAAGAGGGACGACGCGAAGAGACATTGGCCCGATGCCGCTTGGTATACCACACACACAAGTACTGCTTGCTAGCTACCTGGGCTCGTAGTGGGCCTAACTTGTCCTAGTCGCTTCTAAGCCACCTAGAAGCAAACCTGGGACCAACTTGAAAATAGCCTGGGCCCAGCCCGCTTCTGCGTTTGAGAGTCGTGCAAACGAACCTATGCGGTGTGCGTGTTGCCTGCATCAATTGCACGTCGCGCTCGTCGTTGCAACGTCATGATTGCGACTTTACTGCATGAACGAATGTTCGACACACCCTTTAGGCTTTGGAAGAAGGTAGCGAGAGAAAAGATGTCGATTCGTGAAGAGAGAGAAGTACAAGAAGTGGGTTGTACTCTCTACAGTTGGATCCAATCAGTGTTATGCACATGCCTAGCCTACATATATATATGTATGTCGACACACCCCCTAGCCTTGGTAGGTGCTACTCATAGAGGCAAGGGACCAGGGCAGCACTACTAGTCTGTCCACTGGTTTGAGTAGAAACCAATGTCTAAGCACACCACAAGCCCAACACCCCCAAGCCCAACACCCCCAAGCCCAACACCCTCAAGCCCAACACCCCCATACCCAACAGCAGCTGTGGGATTCTACAGTGCGTCCACCCCTCGGGAAGTGAGGCGGCGACGTCAGCGGCGGGGGCAGCGGCAGTGGCGGCGGCGGCGACGGCGATAGCGGCAGCGGCAGTGGCGGCGCCCGAGGCAACCGGGCCCGGCGGCGTGGCACGCTCAGCGATGATGGGGGAGGACAGGCACAAGACCTCCAGCAGCTGCGGTGGGGAAGAGAGGGGGGGGGGGAGGGGGGGTGGGTAAAATGCAAAGAAAGGGGGGGGGGGCGGGTCTTCGACGGCGACACCAGTTAGCGAGCCGCCCTAGATGGCGAGCTGGCTGGCGTGCAGGCGTGGTGGCTGGCGCTAAACCATCACGCTGTCCGCTGCCGTCCGTGCGCTGGCGCGTTGAAGCTGCCACGGCAGCACGACGAAGCCGCCAAGGCAGCATGACGAGGCCGCCATGGCGGCGCGAAAGTGAGAGGAGGGGAGAGAGTACGCTGTGGAAGCGTGAGGAGAAGGCTCAGCAAGATCAACCTGCTCTGATACCATGTTTGAATAGCCAATTGAGGGTTTAGCTAGGTAGGAAGAAAGTAGCGAGAGAAAAGAGGTCGACTAGTGAAGAGAGAGAAGTACAAGAAGTGGGTTGTACTCTCTATAATAGGATCCAATCAGAGTATTGCACCTGCCTAGCCTACATATACATATACATGTATATAAATATAAATATAAATATATATATATGTTGTCGTTCTTTCCCTTCTCTTGCCTTGTCATCCACATGCTTTCCTCTGCTCGTGGCCATTTCAGCACCTCGCACACTGCATAAACCTTGCACACTACATAAACCCTGCACCAGTGTGCTCCCTTGTTCCAACTCTAACACCAATTGTGCTAGCCGTTCTAGCTAGACCCACGACATCTCCAGCCTTGGGTCGTTGTACCTCCAAAAGAAGAGCCTTAAAACCGCGCCAGCCTCGTGTTCCCATTCCCACCAGATTTGGCACCACCAGAATCGTTGGAGTCGGAACCAAAACGTTAACCGGGTTCTAGAGCCACAACAGGCCGCGATTTCTCCACAGACTCACTGCTGCTGCTGCTGCTGCTGCCATTCTCCCAACTCTTCCCTGCTACCACCTCCTGCCCCTAGAACCGAACCCCTCCGCGCTGCTCCACTGCCTTCCGTGCCGGCAGCAGCAGCACCTGCTGCAGGGACACACCGGGACTACCAGCAACACTACTTGTGCTATTAGTGGCACTAGGGTAGGCGGCTGCCCCCATGCTGCAGCTAGCAGCCGCGCACTGCTGATCCTTCGCGCGGCTTCTCTCCGAGGGTGACACCAGCATCAGCGGCGGCCACGCATTCACGCTGCTGCCCACCGCGCCCTGCGCCGCTAGCTGCGCCGACTGCTGCGCCACTTGCTGCGCCGCTTGCGCCGCCTCTGGCTGCGCCATTTCCCCCATCACCGTCGCCATTACTGCTCCCTTGACGCCGCAGTAGTAGCGCGTGCCATCACGCCTTGGTGAGACGGTATCTTGCAACAACGACAAGACCGCCTTGCCTGCGCTCCTTCTGCGAAAACACCCAGCAGTGGCAGCGGAAGCGGCAGTGGCTGCGGCAGAGCAGGTAGTAGCAGAGCGGGGCGAGACAGGAGACGGAGGCGGTAAGCCGGCGAGATAGGTGCTGCTAGACTGGCTCCGACCGATGTTAGCCGCGGAAGGGGACGCTGGCGGCCATGGGTGGTGGGGGGTAGGAATCGGGCCGGCGCGAGAGGCGCAACTCGGAGTGGCAGAGAGGGTTCTAGAATTATTAGAACTAGTAGCATAACTAGTAGTGTCGTAACAGTCTTTGCTCGACTGATTACTGTTACTGCTGCTGGTGCTGGAATCTCGTCTACAGCCAGTGGCGGGGTTCATCTGCAATCATACTACTTCTCGGCACCGGGCTCGTTATGGGACATGTAAGTAACGGCTGCTCGGCTTCAAACCGTCTAATTGACGGTCCGAACTAACAATGCCACGCCAGCAGGCGGGGGACCTGGTAGCACGTGCGCGTCGCGTGCGAGTCCGACTCGAGGGCTCGCGATTCCTGGAGAAGGCGACGCGGCATCTGCCAAGGAGTTGCACCAGGAGGGCGTGGGAGACTGCCACGTGGCAGACTACTGTTTGTGGTAGTGCCACGTGGCGTGATCGGGGGCATCCTGGCCCCTCTGGGTGTTGCCGGAAGATCAGGGCTGCGGGCGCCTCGAATCCACCTCCGCCTGTTGAGCCTGTTGCCCTTGTTGCGCCGAGGTAGCAAGGGATCGGTAGCGCTGCCTCTGCGCCGACCGCGATGATAAGCTCTCTTTTGCCAAAACTGAGAGTCTGGCTGAGGCCGAAGCTCGGAGGTTGCCTCGGCATCCCAAATTTCTCGCCACCGAATAGCTGACGGAAAGGTGGGTTACCCACAGGTGACGGCCCCTGTAAGGAATTAACATTCCTTATTGCGCTGAACTACAGCGCGTACACCCGAAGACCTCCAACTCGCAGGTTCGTCCATGATTGTCGGCCCAAACCTCCCCGAGTCGCGTTCCGACACCCTCGACACCCAACCAAACCATTCACGTCCGGAGGTCCTCTGAGGCGGGAGTGTGATGGGGGAGGGGGAGAGGGAGGGGGGGGGGGGGAAGAGAGGGGCAACGGTACTGGTGAGGTTGAGGGTGACAGGGGCGGGGATGGCTGGGAGCGGGTGTGCGGCGTGCACGAGGTGAGGAGGGTGTTGGGCAGAGCGGCCTCCTGCGCTGCTAGGCTCTCCTCAGCTGCGTTCCTGTTGAACTGCTGAGTAGGGTGGGAGAGTAATGGGTAGCCCATTACTCTCCCACCCTACTCAGCAGTTCAACAGGAACGCAGCTGAGGAGAGCCTAGCAGCGCAGGAGGCCGCTCTGCCCAACACTCTTCCTGCGCAGGGTGGGAGAGTAATGGGGCCCCCCTTAATGGGGGAGAGGGGTTGGCGGGGGAGGGACATGCAGGGGAGGAGAGTGTGAGGAAGATGCGGGTGTGCGGCGTGCAGGAGGTGAGAAGAGTGGGGCACCAAGGGTCTCTTTTGGTTCACCTTGAATTCAGCGTGAAGCGTCCCATAGGTGGTGATGACCACATCGTGCTGTGCCAGGAAGCGAGCCTCTGAGTCCCGCCCCGACCCATAGTACAGCAGCACGGACAGCAGCCCGGGCGCCGTGTGCGCCTCGCACTCAGCCTGGGAGAAAGACAGAGGACCAGTGAGAGAGTTTGTGAGACGCAAGGGGCAAGGGCAAGGGGCAAGGGCAAGGGGCAAGGGGCAAGGGGCAAGGGGCAAAGGGCAAGGGGCAAGGGGCAAGGGGCAAGGGGCAAGGGGAAGGGGCAAGGGGGAAGGGGCAAGGGGGAAGGGGCAAGGGGGAAGGGGCAAGGGGCAAGGGGCAAGGGGGAAGGGGCGAGGGGCAAGGGGCAAGGGGCAAGGTGCAAGGGGCAAGGGGCGGGCACGATATCATACAGTGGAAAGTGGAGGCGGAGGGACAGGCGAGGGGCAAGGTGGAGGCCCACCTTCCACTGGCTCAGCAGCGTCATGGGGCACACTATCAGCGTGCCGCCGCGCACCCTCCTGTCCCTCCGCTTCTTGCCACCGCCACTCCCACTGTCACTCCCACTCCGCTCCGCCCCCTCTCGCCCTCTCCCCTCTGCCCCCCTCTTCTGACCACCTCCCCCCCTTCCCCCCACTTGCTTGCCCTCGCTACTGTCACAATCACCAGGGGCACAATAAAGTAAACGTCGCTGTGGAAGCTCTTGGCCGTCGCTATTGTCACTGTCACCATGCACACCACCCTGCGCCTCAGGTAAATACTCCTCATCGCTATCTTCCACCACCACTATATCCTCCTCTCCTCCACTGTCCTCCCTTTCATCTCCCGCCTCCCCAATCCCCCCCTCCACCGCCTCCCTCTTAACTCGCTTCTTTCTCCTCGAACCCACTCGACCCAAGCACCTGGATTACGTTGGCTTACCGTCGTTTGAGGCAACCGGATAGCCCATGCCAAGGGTAGGGGAGAGGTAGAGCACCCCTTACCTTGGGTATTCTGAGGCCAACCACCTGGATTATGTTGGGTTACCGTTGTTTGGGGCAATCTATTCCCACATGCCAAGGGTTGGGGAGAGGTGGAGCACCCCTCCCCTCCGGTATTCCTAGGCCAATGACCTGGATTACGTTGGGTTACCGTTGTTTGGGGCAATCCAATGGCCCATGCCAAGGGTTGGGGAGAGGTAGAGCACCCCTCCCCTCCTGTATTCCTAGGCCAATGACCTGGATTACGTTGGGTTACCGTCATTTGGAGCAATCGGATGGCCCATGCTAAGGGTTGGGGAGAGGTGGAGCACCCCTCCCCTCCAGTATTCTTAGACCAATGACATGGATTACGTTGGGTTACCGTCGTTTGGGGCAATTCAATGGCCCATGCCAAGGGTTGGGGAGAGGTAGAGCACCCCTCCCCTCCTGTATTCCTAGGCTAATGACCTGGATTACATTGTGTTACTGTCGTTTGGGACAATCGGAAGGCCCATGCCAAGGGCTGGGGAGAGGTGGAGCACCCCTCCCCTCTAGTATTCTTAGACCAATGACCTGGATTACGTTGGGTTACCGTTGTTTGGGGCAATCCAATGGCCCATGCCAAGGGTTGGGGAGAGATATAGCACCCCTCCCCTCCTGTATTCCTAGGCTAATGACCTCGATTACGTTGTGTTACTATCATTTGGGGCAATCGGATGGCCCATGCCAAGGTTTGGGGAGAGGTGGAGCACCCCTCCCCTCCGGTATTCCTTGGCCAATGACCTGGATTACGTTGGGTTACCGTCATTTGGGGCAATCCAATGGCCCATGCCAAGGGTTGGGGAGAGGTAAAGCACCCCTCCCCTCCGGTATTCCTAGGCCAATGACCTGGATTACGTTGGGTTACCGTCGTTTGGGGCAATCACGTCCCCGAAACCCAAGTGATGGAATCCATCCGGATCGGACCCCGGATGGGTTGGATCGAACCCATTCGGATGGAACACATCTGGATCTGGATCGATCGAACCCATTCGGATCTGGATTGATCGAACCAATCCGGATCGGGATCGATCGAACCCATGTGGATCAAACCCATCCCGATCCGGATCAATTGAACCCTTTCGGATGGAACCCATCCGGATCCGGATCAATCGAACCCATCCGGATCTGAGTCGATCGAACCCATTCGGATAGAACCCATCCTTATCGAACCCATTTGGATCCGCGTCAATCGAACCCATCCGGATCCGGATCAAATGAACCCTTTCGGGTCCAAACCCATCCGGATCCGGATCGATCGAACCCATCCGGATCCGAGTCGACCGAACCCATTCGGATCGAACCCATCCGGGTCTGGATCGATCAAACACCTTTGGATCCGGATCAGTTGAACCCATTCGGGTCCGGATCGATCGAACCCATCCAGATCCGAGTCGATTGAACCCATTGGGATCGAACCCATCCTTATCAAACGCATCCAGATCCGGATCGATCGAACCCATCCGGATCCGAGTCGATCGAACCCATTCGGAACAGACCCATCTAGATCCGAGTTGATCGAACCCATTTGGATCGAACCCTTCGGGGTCCGGATCGATCGAACAAATTTGGATCCGGATCAGTTGAACCCATTCGGGTGGAACCCTCTGGGTCCGGATTGATCGAACCCATCCGGATCCGAGTCGATCGAACCCATTCGGATCGAACCCATCCTTATCAAACCCATCTGGATCCGGATCGATCGAACCCATTTGGATCGTACCCATCCGGATCCAGTTCGATCGAACCCATTCAGATGGAATCGATACGGATCCGAGTCGATCGAACCAATCCGGATCCGAGTCGATCGAACCCATTCGGGTGCAGATCGATCGAACCCATCCAGATCCAGATTGATCGAACCCATCCGAATCGAGCCCATTTGGATCCGGATCAATCGAAACCATCCCGATCTGGATTCACCGGACCCATTCATATCGAACCCATCCTGGATCGATCGAACCCATTCGGAACCAGATCGATCGAACCATTTGGTTTTTTTATTCCCCACCCAGTTCATTTGACTCAAGGGCGGATTTGAACCGGCCCCTGGGTTCATCTGTCCCCTTGGACCATCCCAATTTGGTTTTCTGACTCCCCGCCCGGTTCATGTGACCCCTTTCGAGGCACAACACCACCCTAGAGCCCACAAGCCCTTCCGGTGAAGTCGATTTCCAACCGGACAAAAAGGGCTCTAGGGCGCGTGTGAGCCTTATCGAGGCACCACACCACCCTAGAGCCCACAAGCCCTTCAGGTGTAGTCGATTTCCAACTAGACAAAAAGGGCTCTAGGGCGAGTGTGAGCCCTTTCGAGGCACCACACCACCCTAGAGCCCACAAGCCCTTCCTGTGTAGTCAATTTTCAACCAGACAAAAAGGGCTCTAGGGCGCGTGTGAGCCCTTTCGAGGCACCACACCACCCTAGAGCCAACGAGCATCCGGATATGACCGGATGGATTGGATGCTTTTTTTTCCCCAAGGCACCGCACGACCTACTACAAGGCAAGGCGAGCACCCAAGGGGCAAGCCCATCGAGTTTGCCCGATTGAACCCATCCGGATCCGACCATCAAACCCATCCGGGTCGACTGAGTGAACCCATCCGGATCCATCAATCCAACCCATCTGGATCCAACAAACGAAACCATCCGGATCCATCGATCGACCCCTTCCGGATCGATGGATCGAGCCCATTCGAATCGATCGACCGAAACCCATCCCAACCCATCGACCGAACCCATCCGGATCCGACCGTCGAGCCCATTTAGTTCGCTTGATTGAGCCCACCCAGATCGATCGACCGAGCCCATCCCGCTCCAACCGTCGAACCCATCCGGATCGATCGATCGAAAGCATCGGGATCAAACCATCGAGCCCATCAAGTTCCAGCGATCCAACCCATCCTGATCGATCAAACGAGCCCATCTGTATCGGTCGACCGAGCCCATCCGGATCCATGGATCGGGCCCATCTGGATCCATTGACCGAACCCATCCGGATCCATCAATGGAACCCATCCGAATTCCATCGATCGAGCACAGCCCATGCGGATCGATCGGACAAACCCATCCGGATCCGTCGATCAAACCCATCCAGACACATCGATCGAGCCCATACGGATCCAATCCACCAAGCCCAAATGGATCCTTGTCGATCGTCCGGACCCACCCGAATCCGACCCCATCCGGACCAGGGTTGATTGACTGGACCCATTTGAATCCAGCCCCATCCGGATCCATCGATTGAACCCATCCGGATCGATCGACAGAACCCATCCGGACCCGGGCCGATCGATCGAGCCCATCCGAATCCAGCCCCATCCAGATCCGAATCGATCGACCGGACCACCTCTGGACCCGGGCCGAATGACTGAACCCATCCGGATCCAGCCCCATCCAGACTTGAGTCGATCGACCGGACCCATCCAGACCCGGGCCGATCGATCGACGGAACCCATCCGGATCCACCGATCGAACCCATCCGGATCCAAATCGATCCGCCAGACCCATCTGGATCGAATCGATCGACCGGACCCATCCGGATCCAAATCGATCGACCGGACCCATTCGGACCCGGGTCGGTCGACCGAACCCATCAAAATCCAGCCCCATCCGGATCCGAATCGATCGATCGGGCCCCTTCCGGACTCAAATCAATTGATCGGACCCATCCGAATCTTGCCCCATTCGGATCCGAATAGATGGACCGAGCCCCATCCGGACCCCAATCGATCAACCTGACCCATCCGGATCGATCGATCGAGCCCATCTGCATCCGACCCCATCCGGATCCGAATCGAACGACCAGACCCCATCCGGACTCGGGCCGATCGTCCGGACCCATCCGAGTCCAGCCCCATCCGGATCCGGATGGATCGATTGGGCCCCATTCAGACCCGAATCGATTGCCTGGACCCATCCGGATCGAGCCCCATCCGGATCCGAATCGATCGACCGGGCCCCATCCGGACCCCAATCGATCGAACAGACCCATCTGGATCGACCGATCGAACACATCCAAATCCGACCCCATCCGGATCCCAATCGAACGACCGGACCCGATCCGAACTCGGGCCGATCGTCCGGGCCCATCCAAATCCAGCCCCATCCGGATCCGGATGGATCGACTAGGCCCCATCTGGACCCGAATCGATCAACCGGACCCATCCAAATCCAACCCCATCTGGATCCAGATGGATGGACCGGGCCCCACCCGGACCCCCATCCATCGACCGGACCCATCCGGATCGATCGATCGAACCCATACGAATCTGACCCCATCCGGATCCGAATCGATCGAGCGGACCCCATCCGGATCTGGGCCAATCGTCCCGGACCCATCCAGATCCAGGCCCATCCGGATCCGATTCGATTGACCGGGCCCGGACCGGACCCCAATCGATCGACCGGACCCATACGGATCGATCGATCGAACCCATCTGAATCCGACCCCATCCGGATCCGAATCGATCGACCGGACCCCATCCGGACCCGGGCCGATCGTCCGGACCCATCTGAATGCGGGGCGTT